TACGTTTAATACAGTGGACTGTTCCCTCAGCGTCGTGGTTACTGTTTACATTTTCGTGGGACATATGTTTTATTATTATACATATAAAAAGCGATCAATAATTGAAGGTCTATGCTTGTTAAGGTTATGAAAAATTGTGCTAAACACCTGTTTTAACACTTAATCTTCTGAAATTTTCATTGTAGTGACAAAATGGTGATATAAAGTTGTTGTTTTGGTGTTTTTAGAAATCAAAGATCTACTTTAATATCCCCTATTTAGCCCTTAGGTGGGACCACACTCTATGATTGTACAACAGTTAAGTCATCCTCGCCTCAGCATGGAACACCTTTTGTTTAGGGAAATAGATCAATTTTTATTAGGAATCTGATCAGCTATTCTGGAATACTGTCAGTCGTTAACACCTACGGAAATGAAGGCCATTTAAACTCATAAACGTTGGATACGCCTCGGTTGTCATTAGGAGAGGCATGAAGGTGTGACAGCGCTTGGTTTCTCTGCAAAATCACGCTTGGGTAGTTAACAAAAGAGTAAAAGCTCTTTACAAAATATAGGATATTTAAATAAGATGCGTATCAACCTTCACAAAATATAGGATATTTAAATAAGATGCGTATCAACCTTCACAAAACCCCTCACTTTCTCTGCCACAACAGGTGCGGCATTTGTGTGGTATTGGTTATGTTGTATTTTGCAACAACCTAGCAGCAACTTTAGCACAACACTTCACGTCTTACACTGTTTGTTCACGTTTCATGTAAGTTCTGTTGTGTCAGGTTTGTGTACGCTTTTAATCATGAGTGAGGAAATCCCGTGCTGTGCTGAATCAAGTACGGATGGACGCCATGTTAAACCGAATCAGGGAATGTGGAAAAACAAGGTGGAATATATATTGTCACTGGCTGGTTATTCAACAGGAAGTTCTGATTTCTGGAGGTTTCCCTACCTTATCTGGAGACACGGAGGAGGTAAACATATTATATTAGAGAATATTCACTTGATAAAATATCCATTAGTATACAATTATGGACTTTTGTGCTGGTGAATATGATGTGATATGAACCTGAAAGAGTGATATTGACTGAGGCGAAGCCGAGGTCAATATCACTCTTTCGGGTTCATATCACATCATATTTACCAGCACGAAAGCCCATAACTGTTTGATTATATGCTTCAACAATCAAATAAAACAAAACAAAAAAAACCTAAAGGTTCTGATTTTTGTACGCGAGCCTCCGTGTAAAATTTAGCCAGGTTTGAATACAACAGTTCATCATTGTAGCTTTCGGAGGCATCGTCTAGATTATTTTTCTTAAGATAAGCATGGAGGACATGCACTGCGTGTTCAATGGCCAAAGAGTTTTTGAAGACTAGTCACGTGTATAGGATCCGACCAATGTGATTACGAGAAATGTTCATGCATATAATAAACGTAAATATGCTACACAAGGCAGGACTTGTCATCCACCTGTAACCCTGTGTTATTGCTTTGTCTGTACTTGTCATCCACCTGTACCTCTGGAACACCTTTGTTATTGGGTTGTCTGAACTCGTCATCAACCTGTACCCCTGTGTTATTGGTACCTCTGGAACCCTGTGCTATTGGTTTGTCTGTACTCGGCATCCACCTGTACCCCTGTGTTTTTGGTTTGTCTGTACTCGGCATCCACCTGTACCACTGGAACACCTGTGCTATTGGTTTGTCTGTACGTGTCATCCACCTGTCCCCTGTGCTATTGGTTTGTCTGTAGTCGGCATCCACCTGTACCCCTGTGTTTTTGGGTTGTCTGTACTCGGCATCCACCTGTACCCCGGTGTTATTGGTTTGTCTGGGCTTGTCATCCACCTGTAACCCTGTGTTATTGCTTTGTCTGTACTTGTCATCCATCGTAACCCTGTGTTATTGCTTTGTCTGTACTTGTCATCCACCTGTACCACTGGAACACCTGTGTTACTGGTTTGTCTGTACTTGTCATCCACCTGTACCTCTGGAACCCCTGTGTTATTGGTTTGTCTGTACTTGTCATCACCTGTACCACTGGAATACCTGTGTTACTGGTTTTTCTGTACTTGTCACCCACCTGTACCACTGGAGCACCTGTGTTATTGGTTTTTCTGTACTTGTCACCCACCTGTACCACTGGACCACCTGTGTTATTGGTTTTTCTGTACTTGTCACCCACCTGTACCACTGGACCACCTGTGTTACTGGTTTTTCTGTACTTGTCACCCACCTGTACCACTGGAGCACCTGTTTTATTGGTTTGTCTGTACTTATCATCCAACTGTCCCCTGTGTTATTGGTTTGTCTGTTAATTGTCCTTGTCTATCAACGACAACATGATATACTTAAATACTTGTAAAATGTGACATGTCACTAACAATGCTTGAGGATGAAAGAATGTCACTTTCATGAAAGAATAAGTTCAGTAACCCTTAGTGCGCCGTCGATATATTGGCATTGAAAGGGGTTATAACTAAATTTAAACCCCCCCCCCCCCCCTCCCTTCCCGGCTTCTACTGTGTCGGTTCGATTATAGTTTTCGATTGTTTTTATCCTTGGTGTCTAATTGAATAATGGCATTGCAAATTTGTTACTGATGTATCATTTACGAATATTGGCGCAGGTTGGTGGACTGAGGGTTCACGCCAGCAGAGGTAAATAGCGCAAAATGACAAAAGAATAATTATAGTTTGCTGATAATAAAAACTGTTTTGGTGAAAACGAAGAAAGAAAGAAAGAAAAGAAAATCGACGGTTTAAGTGTGGCAATCTGATTAACTGTAATACACGTTAAAACTAACCATTTAACTGTCTTATCCAGTTAAATTCAAAGCCAAACTAATGAGTATGTCGCCATTGTTACGATCCCCTCCGAACGGCTCGCTGGCGCATACTGTGCTCTTCGGAAATTAAAGGTACAAAAATGGCCAGGAGCCTTAACAATTAGCAAATGGAATGGGGGACGCGAATAAAAGGGCTCCAAAATAGTTATCCAATATAAACTATCTATTAATTAAATTTAAACTGGCAAAAAACAAAAGAGAGAATACCGAAGCGCCAACAAAATCCCACAATTTGAACTCACAATTGATGAAACTATGGCATATCATGAACACAGATTTACATTATTAAAAAAGTAAAATGATAATGAGACCATGTGGTCCGGAAGGGAAAGCGTCATCTGCTCCATCGATGACACGCGTCATCTGCTCTATCGATGACACGCGTCATCTGCTCTATCGATGACACGAATACGTGTTAATCTAAGCAGACTCGAAGGAATAGTACGTACTCTTATCGTTAACGCGGGAAGTGACAACAAAACCCACATGTATTGCATTGGTTACGTGTACAATCACTCTTGTTGACCCGGATGATTGCGCGCGGGGGTTCTTTTTGTGGGAGAAAATCGGAGTACCCGGAATAAAACCCACGTGGTCGGTAGATGACCCCATACCTTTTCACGTCCGATCGGGGATTTGAACCCCTACCGCCATAGAAGAAGGCAAGTGAGCCACCAAGTGAGCCCCCAGACCAACGCAGAATGATTGTGGTGTACACATACAAGGCACTAAATGGAACAGCTCTCCAGTATTACAGTGTGTACACATACAAGGCACTGACTGGAACAGCTTCCCAGTATTACAGGAGCTTCTCTCCCCGTATCAGCCGTCACGATTACTGCGGTCGGCGACAGAATACCCGTTGCTTGTCTTAAGATCTCGTTCTGAAATTTATAAAAACCAGTAAAAGGACTTCGACTATGTTCAGAAATAGCTTACTATCTACTACCAGGAAGTCACAAACTCTAAAAAGGATTAAGACCGACCTTTTTTACGTCCGGATTTTTGGCTCTTTTGTGTGAACCTCATGTACACTACACCCTTTAGATCTATATGAATATATTCATAGGGCGTTGAATGGCTTTTTACCTGATGTTAAACGCTGATTCGTTTGCCTTTTTATCTATGTTTGACTGTCACTGTAGTAATACTTTTACTTATGTGCAATAAAGCACCTTAGGGTGGGTTTGCAAGTTATATAGAGCGCTATACGAATGTTTTATGTTATTATTTACAGGAACGTTTATAATTGCCTACGTCATCAGTGCTGTGATCATAGCTATCCCTGTCTATTACCTGGAAGTAGCCGTATCACAGTTCTCAGGGCGAGGCATGTTCGATGTGTGGGATATCTCACCTATCATGAAAGGTAATCAATGCCGATGTGACCCAAATTAATCTGAACTTCAATAATAATTGCCGGCACAGGATTTATCTTCCTCCATTTGCGGGTAAGACTTGTGTATTGCATTTATCCACAGAGGTTTACTAGAAACCGTCGCTTGTAAGACTTGTGTATTGCATTTATCCACCGAGGTTTACTAGAAACCGTCGCTGGTAAGACTTGTGTATTGCATTTATCCACAGAGGTTTAATAGAAACCGTCGCTGGTAAGACTTGTGTATTGCGATTATCCACAGAGGTTTACTAGAAACCGTCGCTGGTAAGACTTGTGTATTGCACTTATCCACAGAGGTTTACTAGAAACCGTCGCTGCACGTTGTGGTACTGTATCTACCACATTATCAATATTGTGTTTATATTTCGACATTTTTTTTAATTTTCGGTTTCCTGTTTCTGGTTCAAAATCATGTTACATTTTAAGAAAGGTTTGTAACGACTGGGTAATTCCAATTGATTTGTGGAGTACAGTGCTTTTTTAACTAAGTCTTATTTCTGTATTCCAGGATTAGGAATAGGGATGTTTATCATCAACTTCGAATACCTCATGTTGTCACCCACCTTCCGCCTGTGGATAATGCAGTATATTGGGTATAGCTTCATGTCACCGTTACCATGGACACGATGTGATAACCCATGGAACACTCCCGCCTGTGTGGATTTCTACAACATTCCGGCAGAAACGATGAACTCCACTCTAAATATATCACGGGCTGGAATATCAACATACAACGTAACATCTGTGGCTCAAACATCGCACGTGCTAGCCGAGGAGGAGTTTTTCTTGTAAGTTGTAGCTTTTGTACAGCAGCATACCTGAATAATGTAGAAGACAAAATGGTAAACACATTCCTACAATGTGTATTTACCTGACAATTTTATAGCGTAAGCCACAAAATGTCCGACAATCGATTCGTATTTGACATCCTCTAAATATCGTATAGGTGTTCCCTCTAATTAAATGATTGCAAGAAATTAAGATGCATTTAATAACTTCGTCCTCCAATAAAAAAAATCACCATCATAAGCGATACTTCACCTACACCAAAATATTACGAGTTGGGAACACTAAGATTGGACTTGTGTCTGTGTCTACTGGTAGTCAGTGTAATGATGTCTTTGTTGTATGTTTTATAGACACAAGATACTCCAGATATCAGGTTCTGTGTACGAGTTGGGAACACTGAGATGGGACTTGTGTCTGTGTTTACTGGTAGTCAGTGTAATGATGTCTTTGTTGTATGTTTTATAGACACAAGATACTCCAGATATCAGGTTCTGTGTACGAGTTGGGAACACTGAGATGGGACTTGTGTCTGTGTCTACTGGTAGTCAGTGTAATGATGTCTTTGTTGTATGTTTTATAGACACAAGATACTCCAGATATCAGGTTCTGTGTACGAGTTGGGAACACTGAGATGGGACTTGTGTCTGTGTCTACTGGTAGTCAGTGTAATGATGTCTTTGTTGTATGTTTTATAGACACAAGATACTCCAGATATCAGGTTCTGTGTACGAGTTGGGAACACTGAGATGGGACTTGTGTCTGTGTCTACTGGTAGTCAGTGTAATGATGTCTTTGTTGTATGTTTTATAGACACAAGATACTCCAGATATCAGGTTCTGTGTACGAGTTGGGAACACTGAGATGGGACTTGTGTCTGTGTCTACTGGTAGTCAGTGTAATGATGTCTTTGTTGTATGTTTTATAGACACAAGATACTCCAGATATCAGGTTCTGTGTACGAGTTGGGAACACTGAGATGGGACTTGTGTCTGTGTCTACTGGTAGTCAGTGTAATGATGTCTTTGTTGTATGTTTTATAGACACAAGATACTCCAGATATCAGGTTCTGTGTACGAGTTGGGAACACTGAGATGGGACTTGTGTCTGTGTCTACTGGTAGTCAGTGTAATGATGTCTTTGTTGTATGTTTTATAGACACAAGATACTCCAGATATCAGGTTCTGTGTACGAGTTGGGAACACTGAGATGGGACTTGTGTCTGTGTCTACTGGTAGTCAGTGTAATGATGTCTTTGTTGTATGTTTTATAGACACAAGATACTCCAGATATCAGGTTCTGTGTACGAGTTGGGAACACTGAGATGGGACTTGTGTCTGTGTCTACTGGTAGTCAGTGTAATGATGTCTTTGTTGTATGTTTTATAGACACAAGATACTCCAGATATCAGGTTCTGTGTACGAGTTGGGAACACTGAGATGGGACTTGTGTCTGTGTCTACTGGTAGTCAGTGTAATGATGTCTTTGTTGTATGTTTTATAGACACAAGATACTCCAGATATCAGGTTCTGTGTACGAGTTGGGAACACTGAGATGGGACTTGTGTCTGTGTCTACTGGTAGTCAGTGTAATGATGTCTTTGTTGTATGTTTTATAGACACAAGATACTCCAGATATCAGGTTCTGTGTACGAGTTGGGAACACTGAGATGGGACTTGTGTCTGTGTCTACTGGTAGTCAGTGTAATGATGTCTTTGTTGTATGTTTTATAGACACAAGATACTCCAGATATCAGGTTCTGTGTACGAGTTGGGAACACTGAGATGGGACTTGTGTCTGTGTCTACTGGTAGTCAGTGTAATGATGTCTTTGTTGTATGTTTTATAGACACAAGATACTCCAGATATCAGGTTCTGTGTACGAGTTGGGAACACTGAGATGGGACTTGTGTCTGTGTCTACTGGTAGTCAGTGTAATGATGTCTTTGTTGTATGTTTTATAGACACAAGATACTCCAGATATCAGGTTCTGTGTACGAGTTGGGAACACTGAGATGGGACTTGTGTCTGTGTCTACTGGTAGTCAGTGTAATGATGTCTTTGTTGTATGTTTTATAGACACAAGATACTCCAGATATCAGGTTCTGTGTACGAGTTGGGAACACTGAGATGGGACTTGTGTCTGTGTCTACTGGTAGTCAGTGTAATGATGTCTTTGTTGTATGTTTTATAGACACAAGATACTCCAGATATCAGGTTCTGTGTACGAGTTGGGAACACTGAGATGGGACTTGTGTCTGTGTCTACTGGTAGTCAGTGTAATGATGTCTTTGTTGTATGTTTTATAGACACAAGATACTCCAGATATCAGGTTCTGTGTACGAGTTGGGAACACTGAGATGGGACTTGTGTCTGTGTCTACTGGTAGTCAGTGTAATGATGTCTTTGTTGTATGTTTTATAGACACAAGATACTCCAGATATCAGGTTCTGTGTACGAGTTGGGAACACTGAGATGGGACTTGTGTCTGTGTCTACTGGTAGTCAGTGTAATGATGTCTTTGTTGTATGTTTTATAGACACAAGATACTCCAGATATCAGGTTCTGTGTACGAGTTGGGAACACTGAGATGGGACTTGTGTCTGTGTCTACTGGTAGTCAGTGTAATGATGTCTTTGTTGTATGTTTTATAGACACAAGATACTCCAGATATCAGGTTCTGTGTACGAGTTGGGAACACTGAGATGGGACTTGTGTCTGTGTCTACTGGTAGTCAGTGTAATGATGTCTTTGTTGTATGTTTTATAGACACAAGATACTCCAGATATCAGGTTCTGTGTACGAGTTGGGAACACTGAGATGGGACTTGTGTCTGTGTCTACTGGTAGTCAGTGTAATGATGTCTTTGTTGTATGTTTTATAGACACAAGATACTCCAGATATCAGGTTCTGTGTACGAGTTGGGAACACTGAGATGGGACTTGTGTCTGTGTCTACTGGTAGTCAGTGTAATGATGTCTTTGTTGTATGTTTTATAGACACAAGATACTCCAGATATCAGGTTCTGTGTACGAGTTGGGAACACTGAGATGGGACTTGTGTCTGTGTCTACTGGTAGTCAGTGTAATGATGTCTTTGTTGTATGTTTTATAGACACAAGATACTCCAGATATCAGGTTCTGTGTACGAGTTGGGAACACTGAGATGGGACTTGTGTCTGTGTCTACTGGTAGTCAGTGTAATGATGTCTTTGTTGTATGTTTTATAGACACAAGATACTCCAGATATCAGGTTCTGTGTACGAGTTGGGAACACTGAGATGGGACTTGTGTCTGTGTCTACTGGTAGTCAGTGTAATGATGTCTTTGTTGTATGTTTTATAGACACAAGATACTCCAGATATCAGGTTCTGTGTACGAGTTGGGAACACTGAGATGGGACTTGTGTCTGTGTCTACTGGTAGTCAGTGTAATGATGTCTTTGTTGTATGTTTTATAGACACAAGATACTCCAGATATCAGGTTCTGTGTACGAGTTGGGAACACTGAGATGGGACTTGTGTCTGTGTCTACTGGTAGTCAGTGTAATGATGTCTTTGTTGTATGTTTTATAGACACAAGATACTCCAGATATCAGGTTCTGTGTACGAGTTGGGAACACTGAGATGGGACTTGTGTCTGTGTCTACTGGTAGTCAGTGTAATGATGTCTTTGTTGTATGTTTTATAGACACAAGATACTCCAGATATCAGGTTCTGTGTACGAGTTGGGAACACTGAGATGGGACTTGTGTCTGTGTCTACTGGTAGTCAGTGTAATGATGTCTTTGTTGTATGTTTTATAGACACAAGATACTCCAGATATCAGGTTCTGTGTACGAGTTGGGAACACTGAGATGGGACTTGTGTCTGTGTCTACTGGTAGTCAGTGTAATGATGTCTTTGTTGTATGTTTTATAGACACAAGATACTCCAGATATCAGGTTCTGTGTACGAGTTGGGAACACTGAGATGGGACTTGTGTCTGTGTCTACTGGTAGTCAGTGTAATGATGTCTTTGTTGTATGTTTTATAGACACAAGATACTCCAGATATCAGGTTCTGTGTACGAGTTGGGAACACTGAGATGGGACTTGTGTCTGTGTCTACTGGTAGTCAGTGTAATGATGTCTTTGTTGTATGTTTTATAGACACAAGATACTCCAGATATCAGGTTCTGTGTACGAGTTGGGAACACTGAGATGGGACTTGTGTCTGTGTCTACTGGTAGTCAGTGTAATGATGTCTTTGTTGTATGTTTTATAGACACAAGATACTCCAGATATCAGGTTCTGTGTACGAGTTGGGAACACTGAGATGGGACTTGTGTCTGTGTCTACTGGTAGTCAGTGTAATGATGTCTTTGTTGTATGTTTTATAGACACAAGATACTCCAGATATCAGGTTCTGTGTACGAGTTGGGAACACTGAGATGGGACTTGTGTCTGTGTCTACTGGTAGTCAGTGTAATGATGTCTTTGTTGTATGTTTTATAGACACAAGATACTCCAGATATCAGGTTCTGTGTACGAGTTGGGAACACTGAGATGGGACTTGTGTCTGTGTCTACTGGTAGTCAGTGTAATGATGTCTTTGTTGTATGTTTTATAGACACAAGATACTCCAGATATCAGGTTCTGTGTACGAGTTGGGAACACTGAGATGGGACTTGTGTCTGTGTCTACTGGTAGTCAGTGTAATGATGTCTTTGTTGTATGTTTTATAGACACAAGATACTCCAGATATCAGGTTCTGTGTACGAGTTGGGAACACTGAGATGGGACTTGTGTCTGTGTCTACTGGTAGTCAGTGTAATGATGTCTTTGTTGTATGTTTTATAGACACAAGATACTCCAGATATCAGGTTCTGTGTACGAGTTGGGAACACTGAGATGGGACTTGTGTCTGTGTCTACTGGTAGTCAGTGTAATGATGTCTTTGTTGTATGTTTTATAGACACAAGATACTCCAGATATCAGGTTCTGTGTACGAGTTGGGAACACTGAGATGGGACTTGTGTCTGTGTCTACTGGTATTCACATGTCTCTGCTCGGCATGTGTGATAAAGAGCGTGGAATCCATTGGAAAGGTAAGGAAACGGTTCAATGAGGGTTTTTTTCATTCCTACTTCAATTAGCGAAATATTCAAAAACTGACATTGCAAAGTCGTTGATCAAAACAAAGAACGTGTAAAAATATTTTCGATCAGTTAAATATTTGATCTAGAAAAACGTTACATGGCGTCCATTCATCTGTTACAGGCAATGTATGTGTTGACGTTTTTGCCCCTCCTGTTATTGCTGATAATTTGGATACGAACACTCGCTGCTCCCGGATCAGTGGCTGGAATGAAATACTTCCTTTCACCAGACTTTACCAAATTCGGAGATCTTGAGGTGATATTTTCAATTGAACATCAATAATTATGATTAATACGTACCAAAGATATCATGATAACCGACTTGAGAAGCATACACAACATAGAAATCGGTATTATTATCTCGTTTCCTATTTTTAGATTCTTTTATGTGCTTTATGAAAACAAGCGTCTTGAAATGAAGCCGCATAAGTTAGATGGATGTCAGTTAAGTAGTGAAGAACATGTTAAGTTTAAGTGTCTTGCAATAAGATTTGACAAATTCCTAATAAATGATTTAGCTCTTGATTGTTGTATAAACCGTGTAGATTGTGTCACTGCTTAATTCCTAGGTAAGTGGTTAGCTATCTTTGTATAAGTTATCATAGTTTTCGGTTTGAGAGCATAGACAACGAACTCGATCCTTAAAGAACGATGTAAATTGGTTTATTTCTCGTTCCTGAACTAATCGAAATGAAAATGTTAAAGCTATAATAATGACTAACTACAAATGTTTGATACAAAGACGTCATTTTTTTCTACTCGTTTGTGTTGTCTTGAAATGTAGTTTAAATAACAGGTTTAGGTGTCCATGAGGCCGGCTTGTTGAATCGTTGGCATACTTGTCATCTGTGTGTGGAGGTGTATCGGTAAGTGTTTGTAGTCACTGGCACCATTGGAGGTCCCATTAATCCTTTCCAGACATATGTATAGTCACCCAGTGAACACTGGTAAATCACCTACCTAATATTCGGCTATAGAATGATTAAAATCAGATTGAGTTCTTTTTTTCTTCTTGTTTCTATTTATTTCAATGTTATGGGCCATACATCTGACTAGACAACTACAAATATGGAGTTTGAACAATCGTTTATTCGTAAAATCTTAAAAATGCCCATCACTCTTGAATGTATTGGACAACCAATGCTGTATCCACTAGAAGATATTACTTAAGTGTCTAATGTAAGATTACATGTTGTTAAAAGTTCTGAACGTTAAACGGTTGTGTTCTTATTTACATCAACGTTGATACATTTACACTTAACCATTGAGATGTAGGCATCCTAAACTATTTGGAGTGTAGGGATAAGTCTCTACTTGTCATATCTCTTTATCCCTACAGGTATGGGTCCAGGCCGGATTTGCCGCTGCGTTCTCCCTCTGTACAGCTAATGGAGGGAATATGGAAATCGGGAGTCGGGCTAGCTTCCGGACCAATGTATTGGGGTACAGTATTGTTTCTATAAATCGCAAGCATAAAACTTTTAATTCAATATCAACTTATTATTTTAGGAATGAAAATTGAGATACACAACTATTGATACTAATTCTGTTTAATTTGTTTTACTCGTTAGCGCTTCACTCATCCCGTGTGTGATGGATATTGTCGGAAGTATCTTCACCAGCATGGTTGTATATTCCGTTATCGGAGTGATGGCACACGAGAGTGGCATGCAGCTTGGAGAGACATTATTTGCAGGTACGTTAAATTTGTGTGTGAATAATATGTTATATGCTAATATTTGCCTCTCGAGTATTGTACGATTTCTTGTTGTTATAACATATTTGTTTTAAACGGGTGAACTACATATTTAGTGTATAACGGTAAAACCATTACATTTTCTTTGTATTACAATTTTTAAAGTACCGCAACGCAAATATTGCTACATCTGAAAAGTGCGGAAATATGCGGCGTTCTATTTGACGCCAGATTTTAATGACGTCATGCTTGACAACAATGCAGAGAGCCATTTTGAATGCGGTGCTCAATGCAATTTTGTCGTTGCTGCTATTATCTGGAAATATTTCCAAGCAAAAATGATATCAATGATGTAGTTTTGTAAATACCATAATGTTTGTGCAAAAGTTGAACAAAGCATCCACTTGTTTTGCCATTCTCTTCATCTGAACTTGAAAATAAAAAGCTTTGCAGTAATGAGAAATTCGCTTTCTAAGTGGACAATACTAAGAATGATATCTTCACTGGTGAAGATTTAAAATTTTGTATATCTTGACTTCAGTGATATAAAATATATAATCAGACAGACAACTCACGATATGTCGTAAATACGGATCTTGTAGGGGTTTACTATCATACTTTTGTAGATATTATGCGGCCTCAATTTCCCAGAAGGCTTTCATGTATGGGGGAGCACCGGAAGTGCCGCTTAATGGTTTGAAGAAATACAATAATAAACATTATGATATCCGTATTTATAACATTTAAACAGCGAAATATCATGAATTCTCCGTTTGATAAAATATGTTATCTTCACTACTGTTAAGATATACGAATGTTTTATATCCACAAGTGAAGATGTCACTCTTACTATTGTCCAGTCAGAACGCTATTTTTTCTTCACTGCAAATATTTGTTTCAAGTTCAGATGAAGCGATGGCACACTTAGTGGCTGTTTTGTTCCATATTTGCAAAATAAATAATTGTATTTATATAACTATACCACTGATATCATTTCTTACTAGATAATAATCTTACGCTAGCACTCTAGTAGCAAACTGCAATATTGCATTAAAATCCCCATTCAAAATGGCGCTCTGCATTGTCAAGGGTGAAGTCCTTAAAACCGTGCGACAAATTCACGCACTTTTTTAAATGGCAATATTTGAGTCACCTTTCTTTAATAATTGTAACAAAGAGAAATTATGGTTTTCGCGTTGAACATCAGATATAGTACACCCGTTTAAAACAAATGTGTAATAACAACCAGAAAAGTAGCGTTGAGGAGAAGTAGAAAATTTGAGAGGTTACAACTTCTCACGTTTGACAAGTATCGTCACCTGGATATTACACTTGTAACGTTTTATATTTGTTATTCGATTAAAGCGGAGCTACCATTGAGGCTTTAGTTAAGCACATAGTCGTTATTTTATTTAAAAGTGCATTAGCTTATGATATAAATTATGTACTGTATGTATCTTCTCTCTCAGGAGATGACATGATTATCAAATTGTTGACATTAAACATGCAGTAAAAGTGTACAGTTTCGGGTCTGGGGACAATTATTGAGCTAGATTAGTGCAACATGTGTGGATATTGAGCGGGAACAGAATATTCGTGTTAACTCTCGTATGCTGCAGTAAACCATTGTTTTCTCTCTCACCGAGGTAGCGGTACCTTTAATTTAAGAATACATTATCTGATACAGACCAGAGTTTATATTCTCATTTGTCACTAAGGGATATGTAGATATCTTTTATGTTTTTGCTACTTTTCCTTAAAGAACAAATTGGCCAATTAGTGCTGTCTTACATCTTATTTCTGGTGATTATAAAGTAAAACAAAATTTACGAAGAATAGGAATTTTTTTTTCGTTATGTTCGTTTTAAGTTATGTTCGTTTTAAGTTCGTTTTAAGTTATGTTCGTTTTAAGTTATGTTCGATGTTTTGATTGATAGGAAACTCGGCAGCTTTTGTGGCCTTCTCCAGGGCGTTTTCGTTCTTCCCGTTGCCTAACCTATGGCTGGTATTATTCTTTCTGGCATTTTTCGTCGCGACATCTGACATCATGGTTGGTATAAATCAGTTAATATTACGTCAAAATCCAGTACTTGTACTTTTATTTTATAATATTGGCACTCTTATAATTTGTTGTGATGTAATATCGGGATAAAAAAAAAACATGAATTATACTGTTGTCTACCTCCACTTAAATGGTGACTTTTCCCACAGATAATGTATTGCGAAATACTCAACCGATACCTTCAAAAGTTTGTCCCGGGTCTCAGTAACAGGCCAAAGACATCGTTCGCCGCCATGTTTGTCATCTGTTACCTGGTCAATCTGCCCTTCTGTACACAGGTAAGATGACAAAGTAAACACGTTTGTTACTAAACCTATATTTTAACTAAAACTGTGGTAGTCATATTTGTTATAATTATTGTAAATAATAGTTAAAAAATTAATAAACTTTATTATGAGTACTACTTAACTGTGTCGGAAAAGCATGTCTGTGTTGAATTACTACCTACAATGATTACAGAAAGTTATAACACGAATGACATTATAATGAGTACTACCTATCCATCCTCGATATCCAGGGGTTACGCTGACTTTCGGTCTCTACACTCCTGGAATATGTCATATCAAAATTAAAGGCTCCGTGTGCGCCACCTTGTTGATGAGACAAGAAGACTAGTTCGGTCCTTTGATGTACATCAAAAGAATATCGCGGTCGCGTAACGGTAAAAATTGACATGCTTTGAAATCGGGCGTCTCCTCTTTGTAATCTTCAAAAGACAGGTATCAGCCTAGCGATTGGTCATGTGTTTTTTTACCTGAGACCAATCAAACAGCTATCTTAGTGCCTTCAAATTTCCTATGACATATTCCAGGGGTGCAGAGAGCGAATGTCAGCGTAACCCCTGGAGTTGTAGGATGTACCCACCCGAAATCCTGTATTAGCCTTCGGAATAGGAGCTCGCCAAGTCTTCATTTTTGTTTTGATGTCTCCAAAGTGTTTGTTGTAGTTAAGTCGTGGTGAGTTTGATATCTGATTTGGACCTTTTGAGTTGACGTTGTAGTACATCTGTGTGTATGTTAAAGATAAGGAACATTTTGTCCCGTTAATCTTTGCGCGTCGGTCGCAGATACAGATACTGCTCAGAAATAAACTAAAACAAGAAAGGGCTTTGATCATCAGACATATTTGTATTAAAAATAGACAATGTCGTTATATTGTGTACATTTGATTTGTGATATTAAATTAGATAGATACATACATTTATATATATGCATGCAAGCATGTGTCACGTATTATATTTTTACACCATTATACAGATAAAGCATTGCAATAATGATGAAATATATTGTGTATATGTGTTATATCCTTTGCATTTCAAAGGCAGGAGCATACTTATACCAAATCATTGGTTGGTTTGTATCATCATGGGGCGTGTTTGTAATGGCGACTCTGGAGTGTGTCATTTTCATGTGGATTTATGGTACGTTGTGTCATTACTTATGATTGAACGGGCCTTTTAAAATGATTATCTTTGTAGTATAAATCAGACCAGGTTATGTGTACAGCCGGGTATATTAGAGTGTTATATGATTATGTATGTTGTGATTATAATAAAACGAGGTATACAATTTTTATATGCGGTCGTGATTATTTGATTACCTCGTGGAAATAGGATGAATATTCGTCCTGCACTTGTCTGATTGTTTTCTTTGTAGCAGTTAACTGGTTTTTGAATTCACCTATGTAGAAAGTGTCAACAATGTGTTCTAATCGTGGTACCGTCATTTAATAACCATTAGCTGTGATAATAAAAATAACACACAATCATGGAATGTGGGATATTACTTGTATTTCATTTCTTATGTAATCAAATACCTTACAGGCTATTCTACATTTGTCTGGAAATATTGAAGTGTATCGCTGCGTTTCCCGGACGTTTAACAGTGGTGTAAATAGGTATTTTATGAACATTCATTTTTACTCTACATCTAGTATATCTATACTTATATAGATGATGTGTCTAACATGGTTACATGTACGATATCGGTTCAGATGTACAAATATAAACTATACAAAATATAAAAGGAGAATAACAGTTCTTTTTCTTATTCTCTTCATTTCAGGAGGCCACATGCTAGACGAAAACATACAGCTGATGAATGGAACAAAGATGCCTCACATCATCCGATTTACGGCCGCGTTTGTTTGTCCCGTCCTCTTTATTGTAAGTATGTTTTCACATGTAATTTTCACATCAATGGTTTCGATGAACGGCAGTTTTAACGTAAAATATACCTGTTACTGTTTACCTTTGTGTAAAGTACTAAAAGGATATGGAGAAACCGCCATACTCGACGCCTTGCTCTCTCTGTATATATGATTAGTCTGTAAGCTCCGTCTCATTGACCAAGTACGAATGTTTCCTACGTTGCCAATCCGATATTTCGTCTGTTTGTTGTTTGTAGTAAATTTTGAGAAAAACTTTCCCGTATGCTATTTACATTCTATTCCATTGTAAACTGATATCAGTGTATACAGAAAATATACAAAAATCATTGTCATAGCATTGACATGATGTAATCCGTTACGTATTATAAATTCCTTTTCGCCTGTATCCTATGTTTATTTCCTACGTAGGTGTTCCTGGTACTTGGTATTGCTCGGTACAAATCTCCCGTGTTTGGAACCTACCACTATCCTAGTTCTATTGAAGGGATAGGTATTCTTATCGGCATACTGCCTTTGGTTCCACTGGTCTGCTGCTTTGTGTTGGGTCTGTACAGAAACAGAAAAGCTGGATTCACGAAAGAGGTACATACTTGTCATTTACATTCGTAAAAAGGGAATTATAACTTTTGTTTTCAGTAATTTAATATAATATATCTTTAATTACCAGCATCCACCCCTTTTTATTTAAAGAAAAAAAACCCAACAACAACAGAAACTTGTGTAAAACTTGATTACATCCATACCTTATTTTGCATTTTACAAAGTTGTTCCAACCAAGCGTTCTGTGGGGACCACGTGACTTGGATGTCGTCGATGAGTACAAGGAAGCCGCGGTAAAACAGAAGAGCTGGTCACAAACGGCTTACTATAACCTCACGGGTAGACAAAGAAAGATAACTCGTCCAGAAACGTGTGACCAGCCGTACGTCATGACGAAGATGATTTAGATTGAAACTTCGAAACAGTTTTAGTAATAACTTTACTTATTTTCATTAAAGAAACAATTCAGTTTATGGCTTTGTGTTTTTCTTTTTTCAGTAGTTGTAAAATACAATATGCCCAGCATAAGACAACGTTATGGGACTTGAACTTCTCGGCCAGGCAGATGCTATGACAGACATCTGTGATGTCCTGTTGAAAAAAAAACCCAGCCAATTCATTAACATCTGCTCTTATCACAATCCCCCACTATGACTTAATTGGCAGGTTACATATGGCTCAAGCCACCAGAGATCATGACGGCGATATTTGTTTATGTTCAATCGGGAAAAAAACACATCTACAAAATCATCAAAACTCCAGTGAATTTATCAGTTCCAAGTCCTTAAAATAAATATACAGATTAAAATCAGAATTTTTGAACATATTGTATGAATAATCTGAAGTCTTAACGTATCCGCTTGAAGTTTTAACACACTTTTAAAGTCAATTACATACAAGAACCCGTACAAATATGTGCACAGGCCTTCTAGGGTGGTTACGTTTAGAAGCATACACAGATACCAAGAGAGTATTATTGTTTGGAAGAGTGTGTAACTTGGAGAAAAATTGTATATCATATCTTGTGTTTACTACTCGTCTTTTTATGGCAGTTATATGGATCAATGAGTATAATAATGGATTTATGAATGAAGTAATAAGAGTTCTAAAGAAATATGATTTATACAAATTAGTACAATAATGTTTATCAAATGGATTATTTTCAGTGAAAAGTACATGGAAAGCGAAAGTAAAGCATAATGTACAGTTGTATGAAGAAAAAGCATGGAAGGAGAAAATGAGTGGTGAGCGCGATTTCTGCAGATTTATAATTGTTCATGATAATTTGGCTCCTGATATATTGTGGAAATTGTTGATAGAATTTCCTCAAAAACAGAGAAGCCATACATAGTATAATGAAATTGATTGCATCTCCAAGACATTCAGAAAAAAATAAAAAAAATCATAAAAGTGGACTAATGTATAACGATATATATACCCAAATAGTTTTACAATGTGAGTGTACAGGAGAGTTACGAGATCAGTTATGGTGTCGAGTCATTAATACAAGTGAATTCATGTTTAGCGTTTATATACACTCTCATTCAGACTTTTAGTTATGTCACCTACTGATTGGTGGCAATATTACGTATGAACTGAATACATCAGATTTAACAGAATTCCGCATGGCATAAGTCAATCATGTTAGCAAAATAATCGTTTAATAAGAAACACAGCCATGTCCAAAATTCTTAACATTAGTAATTATGTATTCTTTTGTAAACTGTACTCAAATTGATTAACCTTTTCCTATTGTGTTAACTAATTAGGTTTTGCACTAGTTGTGCCTTACCATCTATTTGATTTTGCATTTATTTTCTAATTTATCATTGTAACTACATTATTCTGTTTGTAAAATCTTTTAAACGGAGGGGGAAAAAGAATAAAATAATAATAATAAAGATATAATCGTCAAAACATTCAATTTATTATTAAAGTTGTTATTTTACTTCTTTGTTGTAAATTCTTTCATAGTTAAACACTTGCTTACGGCCTTATATTTGTTTCCAATGAAACCGGTGATCAGATTAGAAATACATTTGTCCTGCACCTTATCCTTTTCATTACTGTTACTAAATGTTGGGATGTTAAATCTGTACTTTCTATGTTTTTCTCGATCTGAGATAAAATAATGAATAAAATAATGAATCTTACTATCGTAGTATTTTCTCAATCATCATCGCGTTCCAGGTATAGTTGAGAGTTGTCGCGCTTTGTATACTACTCAATGGAGCTGTTGGGTGGTCACTAGCTGTCTAGTTGCAATTCATCATCCTGATGTACATAGTGGAAAGACTATATGACTACAACACGCTGTGCTATGTGTCTTACCCGTTTTTTTGACTCTGTGGTATGTTTTGACCTTCTGACTAACGATAACGTATACTTAACGTTTTTTGTATGACATAGTAAGACTTGTCCCTGCTTGATGGCATACATAAAACACTGTATATATATAACAATGTATAATATAACACTGTATATATATAACAATGTATACATAAAACACTGTATATATATAACACTATATACATATAACACTGTATATATATAACACTGTATACATATAACACTGTATACATATAAGACTGTATACATATAACACAGTATACATATAACACTGTATACCTTTAACACTATATACATATAACACTGTATATATATATATATATATATATACAGTGTTATATGTCTATAGTGTTATATATATACAGTGTTATATGTATATATAGTTATATATATACAGTGTTTTATGTATACATTGTTATATATACAGTGTTATATGTATACATTGTTATATGTATACTGTGTTATATGTATACAGTCTTATATGTATACAGTGTTATATATATTGTGTTATATGTATACAGTGTTATCGGTATACTGTGTTATAGGTATACTTTGTTATATGTATACAGTGTTATATTTATACAGTGTTATAGGTATACATTGTTATATGTATACTGTGTTATAGGTATACATTGTTATAGGTATACAGTGTTAAAGGTATACGGTGTTATATGTATACAGTGGTATAGGTATACAGTGTTATATGTATATATATATACAGTGTAATAGGTATACACTGTTATAGGTATACAGTGTTAAATGTATACAGTGTTAAAGGTATACGGTGTTATATGTATACAGTGTTATCGGTATACTGTGTTATAGGTATACTCTGTTATAGGTATACTGTGTTATAGGTATACATTGTTATATGTATACAGTATTATATGTATACAGTGTTATAGGTAAACAGTGTTATTGGTATACTGTGTTATAGGTATACTCTGTTATAGGTATACTGTGTTATATGTATACAGTCTTATATGTATACAGTGTTATAGGTAAACAGTGTTATATGTATACAGTGGTATAGGTATATAGTGTTATATATATACAGTGTTATGTTATATGTATATTGTGTTATATGTATATAGTGTTATATGTATACAGTGTTATATTTATACAGTGTTATATTTATACAGTGTTATAGGTATACATTGTTATATGGATACAGTGTTATAGGTATACATTGTTATATGTATATAGTGTTATATATATACAGTGTTATAGGTATACTGTGTTATAGGTATACATTGTTATAGGTATACAGTGTTATATATATACAGTGTTTTATGTATACATTGTTATATATACAGTGTTATATGTATACATTGTTATATGTATACAGTGTTATATGTATACAGTGGTATATATATACAGTGTTATATGTATACTGTGTTATATGTATACAGTCTTATATGTATACAGTGTTATAGGTAAACAGTGTTATATGTATACAGTGGTATAGGTATATAGTGTTATATATATACATATAACACTGTATACCTTTAACACTATATACATATAACACTGTAAACATATAACACAGTATACATATAACACAGTATACATATAACACTATATATATAACACTGTATATATATAACACTGTATACCTATACCACTGTATACATATAACACCGTATACCTTTAACACTGTATACATTTAACAAACTATACATATTACACTGTATATATATAACACTGTATACATATAACACTGTATACATATAACACTATATATATATATAACAATGTATACATATAACACTGTATACCTATAACACTGTATACCTATAACACAGTATACCAATAACACTGTTAACCTATAACACTGTATACCTATTACTCTGTATACAAATAACACAGTATACATATAACACTATATATATAACACTGTATATATATAACACAGTAAACGTATACCACTGTATGCATATAACACAGTATACCTATAACACAGAATACATATAACACTGTATACATATAACACAATATACATATAACACAATATATATAACACTGTATACATATAACACTGTTTACCTATAACACAGTATACATATAACACTGTATACCTATAACACTGTATACATATAACACAATATACATATAACACAATATACCTATAACACTGTATACCTAAAACACTGTATACATATAACACAGTATACATATAACACTGTATACATATAACACTATATACATATAACACTGTATACATATAACACAGAATACATATAACACTGTAGATATAAATCACTGTATACCTTTTATACTGTATACATATAACACTGTAAACATATATCACTGCATACATATAACACTGTATACATATAACACTGTATATATATATATAACACTGTATACCTATAACACTGTATACCTATAACACTGTATACATATAAAAACACAGTATAATATAACACAATATACCTATAACACAGTATACCGATAACACTGTATACATATAACACAGTATACATATAACACTGTATACATATAACACTATATACATATAACACTGTATACATATAACACAGTATACATATAACACTGTATATATATATATATATATCACTGTATACATATAACACTGTATACATATAACACTGTATACCTTTAACATTGTATACCTAAAACACATTATACCTATAACACTGTATACCTAAAACACATTATACCTATAACACTGTATACCTATAACATTTTATACCTATAACACTGTATATATATATCACTGTATACCTATAACAAAGTATACCTATAACACAGTATGTTAATAACACTGTATACCTATAACACTGTATACATTTAACACTGTATACCTATAACACTGTATAACTATAACACTGTATACATATAACACTGTATACCTATAACACTGTATTCCTATAACACAGTATACATATAACACTGTATACATATAACACTGTATACATATAACACAGTATACCTATAACACTGTATACCTATAACACTGTTTACATATAACACTATATACATATAACACTGTATATATATATACATATAACACTGTATACCTATAACAGTGTATACCTATAACACAGTATACATATAACACTGTATACCTATAACAATGTATACCTATAACACTGT